CTGTTCGTGACTAGGTACATGTAACTCAGTGAACTATTACCAGTGATTGTGACCAGGTATCTCAGTGGTTTATGGTATAATTAGAGTTTGTGACCAGATATATCAATGACCTGTAAGTAGAGTTTGTGAGTGACCACGTATCTGAATGGATTATACACGTAGTTGAAAATTGACTAAAACGTTACATGTAATCAGTTAATCAATTTTTCAATTTTCATATTTAAGAACTGATTATTTCACACGTTTCGAAAAGTGAAACATATAAAAATTAGTCAAAGTCATGGACCCAGGTCTAGTCTAATTCCTTGGTGGATTGACGAATCATAGTTACGTCCCCTTAACACCTTTCGACTCATAGGTCAGACCACGGAATTAGATTGCTATCTTAGTCCGTGCTAGAATTGACCATTTTCAGCCAGTAATTAAACTTGCTTGATTATTCTGTTATCTAATGATTTCATCATAAAGAACAACTAAAAAGACGATTAGCAATTTGACACTCTAACGTGTTGTTTTTTATATACACATCTTTTATAATTATTCATATTTTGTAATATTTTATTTTGAGCACACGGCTCCTCCCCCATAAACAAATCAAAAGGTTGGCAAGTATGCATTTTTCATTTATAACCATATATCATTTGTTTACAAAAAAAATAAATAAGTGCAATTAACGCCTTTATTAAATACAGATACAATTAAAGGTAGAACAAATATTAGAAATAATAACGTTAATGGTAAAAGACATTGTACATGCAGGGATGTGTAGTCCACCTGGTTCATGTAAAGGGGACTTATTTATTTCAACAAATTTTATTGGACAAAAAAATGAACAATTGGATGAGACAAGAGGTTTAGCCTATTTAAGTCTTCTCTAAACCGGTATAGATGGACAGAAAGCATAAATTTAACACATTGCTCAACAAGACACACTCATATACACTTACAAACGTATAGGCTAGAACACTCAACCAAGTTATAAATATAAGAAAGAAAAAGAAACATTATTTGGTGACATTTGAAAACTTATTAAACACTTTCTTAGCAAATCATATATACATGTATGTTTGTACACTCAGACCACAGTCCATATATACACACACACACCCTCACATACACACACATATATATATACATGATATGCATTAAGGAGACTTAATGGAATGCTTGATGTTTGTCATTTTTTGTAAGTTTCATTGTTTTTAATTAAATAGAAGAGACAAAACTGATTAAATAACTTGTAAAAAGAACTTTTTTCAACACGTCTAAATACATTTTGTACATTAAAAAGCACGGCAATGTATTGTCCTTAACCCATTACAAACTACCAGCAATTGCCGCCCTATTATATATAATTGAATCTCTAATCCCCCTCGACTTCCCATCTTGAACCTCTGAAGTACACTATATATGCTATGTTGATATGGGTCTCAGCATTATGTGTTCTGTGACCCATCAGTATAGCATGTGTGACTGACTTGAAGCAAATCAGACCAGGGTATAGGGAGGGGGACGGGGTAGTCATGTTGTGACACAGACACGAACTGACAAAGTAGGCTATGCATACTTACCTTTAACCCACACATGCGCGTACATACATGTATCTCAGGGGGCTCATCAGCATTGTCGTTGATAAACAAAGCATCTCTTCGTCTGATCGGTTCTCCTTTGCACTGAAGTGACTAGACTTGCACAGGCCTATCTTTCGTGAAGCCGACGGTTGTTTTCTTGTTGAAAGAGTGAAAAACACATATTGAAATTGGTAGACCTTTGAGTCAAACATAAAACTTGTCTGTGATGAGGTCAAAACTGGTAAAATTCACTCCAAACTCCTATTGATCATGCAGGCTTCCCGGTGAAGTTTCCTGTTCCGGTCTTTTTCAACCAATCAGAATGTGGCAAATTTTAAACCGCGATATTCAAACCGCAAATATTTGTATTGCGAAGCATGATTCGCCAAAAACGTCGATAACTTTAATTTTCAAACCCGTTTTAAGGAAGAAACACTTCAAACCATAACGCATATGTTTGCCTTGTTCACGTAAACAGTGTCCATTTTTTTCAGTTCATGAAAAATCTACATATTTGCCTAAATTGACAAGCCCAATGCCCCGAACTAGTAAACAAATGTCGATGTTTACTATGAAACATAAGTTGGGCTTGTATATATATATTTTTTTCAAAATCAACCTGTAACCTATAGTTCACTTATTACTATGTTGTATATCTTAGCCCTGTATGACCCCTGAACTAATTACTATATTGTATATTCTAGCCATGTATGACCCCTGGAAGGGGCTAGTATGAGTGTATTTCTGGGTGGTAACAGACATGGGGAAAACTTTGGTAGTTGCCTATAATAATAATTTGAGGTTCTTACAAATGTATATACCGCTTTATCACAACCCAGTTCCTAGGTCGTCTCAAAGCGGTTCACAAATCATTTTCCCAGGGTTAGACACTTACTTTTTTTTTGCTTGGTAGTACACAGGACTAGTTAAATAGATTATGTCCCAGATTTCCTGGTGTATGGAAACCTCGCGATATACAGCATTAAACAGCAAAAATAGGGGACAGTCCACAGGACTTAAAATAACTACTGCCATACAAATATGGTAAAGTTTGAGGAAAGTTTTGAGAATAATCATGCAATGTATGTTATTTTATGCAGTTTTCTAAATTTAAAAAAAGGAGTATTTACATACAATAATTATGTTTTTCACAAGTCCAAAGAACCGTTTAGGTAATTAGGTGATTCACTAGTCCTTGCTGAAATCTACTAGTCCAGGACTAGCAGACTAGTGTTAGTGTTGAACCCTGTATCCATGGTAATAGGGCCATTGCAACCAACCAATAACTTTCTCAACTCCCTTGGGAACATACAGCCGGTGGTGCCATTCCGGCACTCACAGCTAGCATTCTACATTCTACAATTCTAGCACTGCCCAACCACATACATAAAAGTACAAAAAAAAACAAGAATTAAAAATTGAATCCACAAAAACACTGAAAAGTGACGTGTTTATTTATTGCTATACATTTTTCTGTAAGAAACAGCTAGATGAAAAAAAAATGCAAATCACATTAAATGTTTTATTTGATAAAAACTAAAATTTCCCTTAACGTGGGAATACTGATGAAATTTCCCAATTTTTGCCAAATGCCAATGATATTTTCCCAATTCCTGCTCAGGGACCCTTTCCCAAAATAGCTGGCCAAAATTATATTTTCATTTAGAAAATCTTGAGGCTGCTTAGTTCTTGAATATTTTTTTGTTTTATGTTGAAATATTTCAAAATTATAATGTATATATATATTTCCTTAATTTCTTAGACAAGATTTCTCAAAAAACATTTGCAGTGTAGGAAATCTTCTAACATGGATGTTTAAATAATGAAGTTATAGCCTGGCTAGAAGCTATTCATTACTGTACATACAATGTGACACAGTAGATATTTAGGCTTTTTGCCTTGCTAAAATTGACCATTTTCAGCCAATAAACTTGCTCAATACACTTATTCTGATTGAGTATAATACCTAATGATTTCATCAAAAAGAACTCAAAAGATGATTGATGTACACTCAAGTGTTATTTTTACCTAGGGCGCATAGACACGTGCCATGTTTTGATGATTATTTATGTTACGTCAGAAATTTCAAAAGGTTGGCAAATCTGCATTTGTGAAATTGTCATTACATACATGTATATACACGAAATCACCTTTAACCCACATAAAAGTACACATTTATGCGCGTATATAGTAACATACCCCAGGCGGCACATCAGCATTGTCTTTGAGACTAGACTTGCACAGGTCTAGCTTTCGTAAAGCTGACGACTGTTTTCTTGATGAGTGACAGGCACATATTGAAATCAGTAGACCTTTGAGTCAAACATAGTACCTGTCTGTGAGAGGTCAATACTGGTAAAATTCGCTCAATAGCTACTCTTGTCGATCAGTAGGCCTTTACCCTCCCGTGTTCTTATTCCCGGCTAAGTTGATCTGTTTCGGTCTTTTCAACCAATCAAAATGTAGCAAATTTTGAAGCCCTCGACTTTCAGGCCACAAATATTTTTATTGCTTAACCTGATTTGTCAAAAACTTCGAAAACTTTATTTTTAAACCCGTTTTTTAACGAAGAAACATTTCAAACCATAACAAATACGTTTGCAAAGTTCACGCAAATAAGTTACAAGGTGAAACATATTTTCTATTCCCACAGAGATGTTTAAAACGGTGATTTTTTAACTTCTGATCTATTAATACCCAATCAGAGCGTCGCAAATTTTAAAGTCCTAAAGAAAAAAGATCGCATAGTATTGTATTTTCGTTTTGTGTTACTATATATAGATTTTTGCTTGAACTATATATAAAAGAGCTCGCTGCGCTCGCTATAATTGCGTCTCACTTTGACGTCATAGTGACACAGATTCTTAAAATACCTTAAACTCGCCATTTCTTTGGGTGATTTTAGCTCAAGTTATATGAATTAGAATTGGGTCAATCTTACTGTACATTTTTTTTTGTATTTTGATATTTGTAGCGTAATACCGTGAGTATACTGTCGGAAGATTCCGTTTTTGTGGCTACGCTTCTATAATTGCGATTACCGCCGCTTATTTCTTACTAAAGTAAGTACGTTGTGAACATGACTGGCGACAGAAACAAGTCGTACCTAATCGCATATTTGTGCGAACATGTCCGCACAACGGGGCGCTTGATTGTATAAATACATACCTCTTCCAACCTTGTACGCACGATGTTTATTTGGTGTGGTGTGGTGTGCGGTCACACAACAGAAACAAGTGTCCAGCTTAGGCCTAGTTCCCTTAGCTTCTCCTAGGGAAATATATCCGGTTTCGGGGAATCAACAACTGGCTTTATCCCTCGAGCCCATACTTTAGCTGTAAATAGCATCTAAATCGGTCAAATATTTGCTTGATATATAATCATGTTAATATTAATTGATGTTTTTCTCATTTTTTTGTCGGGACTCAGGAGTCCTCTGTGAACCGGCGAACTCATGTCAAGTCGTGGCGTACAACGTCACACAGATGTTATGGCCCGATCACTGCGTCATCAATACGACTTCCGCCGAGTTTGACGACAGTCTTGTCCAGGAAGATAGCGACATCGTCATCAGGAAAGGGTTCAACTGCAAAGTAGGTCGTTTAAAGTCAGAAAACAATCTGGGACACATACAGCTAAGTCATAAAGCATTTTATAGTGTCCAGTTAAGACCAACATATTCCCGCCTCCCTAGTCCGTCAAATTACGCACGACGCAGCTAGGGCGCATTGTTAGACAAGGGCGGAATGGCAGCAAGTTATGTCTCCTTTGAGGGGAACGATAATGTATATATTCGGTCCCAACCGGACACGTTTTCCGTTGGTCAGTTTAGGTTATTTTGGTTTGTTTTTATTTTTTTAACGTCCCATTAACAGAAGTACATTTCCTCCATTGGTGTTAGGCTGATGTACATGTGTGTACATGTATGTGTGCCGGATACAGGGTATGCTGGTGTATTTGCCTCTTTGCGATAGCACGGATCTGATGTCCACTGGGTGGTCGGGTGGTGCAGTGGATAGCGCACTTGCCTTTCACCAAGGCGGCCGGGGGTTGATTCCCCGATCGGACGTGAAAAGGTTGGGGTCACCTGCCCGATCACGTGGGTTTTCTCCGGGTACTCCGGTTTCCTCCCACACTAAGACCCCCCACGCGCTGACGTCCGGGCCAACAAGATTGATTAATATAAGTTGAAATAACTTGTTTCATAATTGTTGTAAAATAAAAAAAAGTTTATATATAATGTCCACTTTTAGTTCTACCTCGCTGAAATACCATGCCGAAGGCCACCAGAGGTCGCCAGCACAGTATTTTACCAGGTCACACTTTACTGAAAACGGATAAACCAGGTAGTGAGATAATCCTTAATGCTGAACGTTTAGCAGAGAATAGCAACTATCATTTATCAGGACTTTCGAATGCCACGGTCTGAGTACTGAACCCATTGGGGTTGCCACGCTCAACACAAAGGCCAAATGCGAGTTATTGCCAAACAATGCACTAGGAAACAAACAAGGTTTACAGGAAATGGAGAGAAAATATTATCTGAAACGTTTCAATGGTGGTAAACAGAGAAGATTATGCAGGGTGTCCTACATCGATCGACTTTTACGACATTTGGTGATATACAGCCAGTCTATTCCTTAACTAGAACCTGCAAGGGAGCCAAGTTAGGTCCTTCGAACCTCAACCTCCCTGTTTAGGGATTTCGAGGTCAGGGTGCCCAGATCAAATATTTCACCAAATAGTAGTACTTGTTGTTTAAAGGAAGCACTTTTGTTAGGAGCATACATTTTCTAGTTTGCTTCTCAGGGAAAGTCTTTGTCAACCTGTTTGATTCGAATATATATTTCATTGCATCAGCTATACGTTGTACCATAGGGTTTGGGCGCACGTTCTCCCCTTGTTCGACAACAGGTATTTACAAGATGAACTGTAATCCGTTGTATTCATGGTTAGGGTGTTTAAACCGTCAACAACACTTACTTCATTAGGTCACTGGCAACAGTGTCGATCTAGTACAGATACTTATTACTCTTTACAACTAACCTTTATTTAAGACTCGTGTATACAAGTATCTCCTTTATATCGTTTTTGTTGCTTATTTGTGAAATTGCACGTACTAAACATTAATGGCTTTCGTTTTACGTTTTTGTTTTTGTTCCTAGGTTGATTCCTACTCGGCGTTCTTTGACAATGGCGAATTCACTCAAACCGGTCTACACAAAATTTTACAAGATGCTGATATCTCAACTGTGTTTGTCACGGGCCTAGCTTTAGATTATTGTGTGTATTACACATCATCTGATTCCAAGCGTTTAGGTGAGTCTGCCATGCCTCAAACCACATATACATGTAACTTTCTTCAGGTTCATTTGTGTATCTGCAAAATGACATACCTTGTATGTTGATTACGGTATCAGACTAAACGGAACTAGCTGACTATTTAATGTAGAGAATATCAAGCTCCCTAGAAATATCATGTTCACTTACTATTTTACAGCTAGCCGAGACAAGCTACAATTACACAGGCAAAATTTGAAACGTTATCATGCTCAAGTATGAATTCTGTGCTCAAACCAGCGTTCTTGTTTCTCACATAAATCATGTCAAATGATCAAAAGGTCAAATGTAAGCACTGACACCAGTATTTAGCTTTAAGTGTTTTCATATTTTTTTTAAAATCATTAACAAAATAAGATTGGATTATTGATTAATAAATGGAAAAAGAAAATAGGCTTGAGCACAAAATTCATTCTTTGGTATGAGAACGGTTTCCATGAATACGGGCCTTGACACCACGGAGTTTTGTCTGTACAGTTACATGAATGTAAAGCACATCTAAACAAGTAAAAACACGAGTACTGTCTTTCCAGTATCTTAAAACAATTAAAAAGTTGTGGTCTTGAGCAAATAATTATCATGAACTTATTTGGACCACGTGGAACATAGAGTCACGGCGATCTCCATCCCCCACCCCTANGTACAAAGCCTTCATTTAATTCCCAAGAACTTTGTATTTAATTGTTTAAATCTTAGAGAGTTAGGCCATCAGACAAATACTTGGTTAGCAAGAAGGACTAACAAGCGTATTTAATTCTTTTCTTTATTCTCCGTTCATTGTGCGGTATAGTCGATATATCTCATTATATGTTTACATTACATTCATTGATATTTGTTGACGTCTAAAAACTTCCAGTTGCATAATATAGGCGTCCTACATATTAACCGACCCGACATATATCGCTCGGTCACAGCCTCTCTACGTGTATAGTGCTGAACTCCAGACATGTTTACAATGTACGATGTATTAAATTTCTTAAAATGCTGATATAATCTTAGTGATTTTATATAGTCTCTTTTTCTCCCTACCTTATTTTCTTTTAATCTTTTGACGATCTTCACGTTTTAGCAGTACAATGACCTTGAGCCGTTATTTGATAGGTAACACAACTCGTCCTTTTTGACGTTGAAGTTACTTTTGCATGTCGTGTTTGGTTAGAAACTATCCTTGAGTATTCGTGATGTAAATTCAAATTACCATGAGCTTATTGCACTTTGCAGATATCGAGTTTCGTGTCGTGTATACTAATTTTTACAATTACTTGGTTGTCGGGTGGCGCAATGGATAGCGCACTCGTCTTTCACCAAGACGGCCGGGGTTTGACTCCCCTGTCGGACGTGAACAAAATATTGGGTCACCTGCCCAACCAAGTGTGGTTGTTTCTGTGTACTCCATTTCCCTTCCACATTGAGACCTGTTTGTCCTAACATCCGGGCCAACAAGAGTAATTAATATCAGTTGATAATACCTGTTTCGAAATTGTTGACACATAAATAAATGTTTTACATGTGCATTTATTATAACAGTTTCATATAACACTGTATGCATGGTTTTGTATTGTTTACTTAATATCTTCAAAATGAAGTGTTCAACATTTGGAAAGTCTTTGACCCTGGATGAACTTTGTCATTTATGCAGTTTACCAGCATTTTCACTTCAAAAGAAGAACGTTCAGGCCGCCGAATTTTCCTTCTAGAAGTACACATCACCCTTGGCGTGAATGACCGGAAGTGCAGTTATATATATCGTTCATGTACCGGAAGTACACTGAAATATGCCATGCATGACCTCAGACTACACTAAGACAGTTTTGCATGCGCTGGTGTTACACTAAGCATGTGTATGTACAATCGCAAATACCTTCAGTAACTGAAACTGGCAATATATATAATGGCGGAAACTTAATATTTGTGGCAATCGAATATCTCGCTCCAATTACAATAATCAAGAGACGACCTAGATACTTTTATTGGATAAAGTCCCTCTTATCGATTTTATGAAGCCCTCATGGGCCGACGTTATTGTCACAATGATCTATTTGTGGATCATTATTGTACATGTTCTCGCCTCTGATACTACACAACGGCTACAAAACTAAATCAAGGTATTCGATTTACATCCTAGGGGTTTTGTAAAGATGTTAAATGTTAGAATTGCGAATGGGATTCTTTTCTTATCAATTACTTCAAGTACATGTACGATGTCTATAGTTATCCATTGTGATGATATGAATGGTCTTGAATATTGTGTGGTAGTATAAGACTCTTTCACGCCCAATAGTGTAGGGTAGGGAAATTCCACCCAAGGGGTTTTCAAATTTGGTAAAACCCGAGGCTTTGCCAAAGGTTTTGCCAAATTTGAAAATCTCGAGGGTGGAATTTCCCTATCCTACACCCTTGGGCATGAAAGAGTATTTTTTTCTCATTCCAACCACCAGAATAAGCTCAGAAACCATGAAAATGCGTTTGGACTGGTCACCATTTTGAAAATATAAATTTTCCCCCTGAACATTTTAGACGAAAACGATCATCCAGCCAGATTTAGCATATCCCATATTTGCAAACGTTTGCACAGAAAACTAAATCTCATCTTTCTAATGTGTACAGTAAATATACCGTAAAAGGTTTTACCTGTGACTTATCGAGATCGGGTTATCTCAGTCGAGGGTTAAGATTCTGTTACAAAATTCCAACCAAGGCGTAAGCCGCAGTTGGGATGTTACAGAATCTTAGCCCGAGACTGAGATAATCCGATCTTGCTCAGTTACAGATGATGGATTTTTCTTCTCGCACCTTTTAGTTAGAAAAAATAATTCAATTTTGCTTAAAACTAAAAGAATCCCACCTTGGGCCTCAAATGATAATGACCTCTTTATTACTTTAGCTGCATTTGAATGCTTCCGCGTAAAAATGTAGTCCGTCCTTACATAGATTACAGCGTATTTCACAGTGTAGATTATATTTCATCTACAACATCAAATATCTAACAACATAAAAACTATACATAATACATATAGCGACAAAACAGAACATCTATAGTGCAAATTGTCAATTTCAAGCAGTTAAAACGCGGATGAATACATCGCACTGTAAAAATTCCGCGAAATGTCACGTAAAGTTACAAGACAGATCGTACGAGATAGAAAAATCTAGCATGGGGTAAAACGTTGGATATCTCTGTCTGAGGTGAGAGCAAGATATTTCCTACGCTTCTTTCTTACCCTGGACAGCTCTTTCTCACATATCTTTGGAAAACATCGATGCCGCAATGCGGAAAAGACAACGTGATGAAATTAAAACCGTTTACGACGTATTTACTGTACCCGTTAGAGAGATGACATTATTTTTTCTGCGCAAACGTTTGCAAATATGGGGTATGCTTAATCTCACTGACGAATTCGTTTTCGTCCAAACGCATTTTCATGGTTTCTGAGCTTATTTTGGTAGTTGGAATGAGAGAAAAATTATCTTTCATGCCCTATCGTGTAAAGGATAGGGAAATTCCACCCTCAGCATTTTTTCAAATTTGGCAAAACCCTCGGCAAAGCCTTAGGTTTTACCAAATTTGAAAACCCCTTGGGTGGAATATCCCTATCCTTCACCCCTGGACATGACAGAGTCTTATACTTTTACACACAGGGAAATACGAGAAATGTATATATTGTATTCCTCTGTTAGACTGCAGACTTACTAAGTCTGTCTATTGAGTATTATATCTATGTTGATTTAAACTGTATTTCATTCGAAAAAAATAGTAATTGCGAAACAAGTTCTATAGACTTGTATCAACCTCTATTGTTGCCCGGATGTTAGCGCGCAGGGGTGTTGTTGGTGGAGGCAACTGGAGTACCCGCAGAAAACCCAAGTGTACGGACAGGTGACCTCATACCTTTGTCACGTCCGACCATATTTGTATGTTAAACCTCTGTCAGGTTACATACGTGTAAAGGTACAGTGTAGTAATATTCATTGTGATAATTATGTACGTTCTGTCCGCCTCAGGACCTACCTAGTCATGTCTGTTGTGAACTTTCTATGTAATTTTTCTGTCAGGTTACACGACCTACCTCGTCCAGGACGCCAGCCGAGGCGTCGCCAATGCTACCTCTGTGGCAGCCGTGGCGGACATGAAATCAAAAGGTAGGTACAATGTATAACAGGATTTCTCATTCAATCTTCTTTTGATGCTGGTAAACTGGACTCGTCCGTCCGTCCGTCCGTCCGTCCGTCCGTCCTTAATCATAATGTTGTCCGAACGGGTATTCCCTTAGTGTGTTAACCGATCTCAAACGTACTTCCACATGCATATCTGATGATGTGATGATTTTAGATAGAGTAATTGCCCTTTTTGTTACGTAAATCATTAACTTACGACTCAATTTCTTAAATATTTCATCTTATAAGATGCAACACAAAAGCACTGGAGTGTGACTTATGGTCATGTACTAATCAGTATCTGAATGTTATGTAAACTCTTAAATAAAATATTTTAAAAAATACAAAGATAATACCGAAGTGTTATCAAACCCGTAATTGGAGCACAAAATGTTGGAAACTAGGGAAAATATGAACAAAGGAAATCTCTAATATTGAAAAGGTACAAACAAATTGTGATATTTTGAACTGGCTATGGAGGAGGAATTCATTTCAATCACCGTATGTTTGTTCAGGCATCCTAACCTCTGTGTTTTATTTATTTTTCTCTCTATTTTTCAGGTATCAACATTATTCAGAGTGACGATGTGGGTGCCATTTTGGAATCTATAACTAGCGGAGTTTCATCACACGGAAGTTGCTTAACAACGATTCTTCTCGTTGTCATGGCGATCGTTTTCATGCAAATGTTCAGTTGTCATTCTGTCCAGGAATGAGTGTTTAGTTAAATCATACAGAGTATTTGTAATGGACCACCATATTGATTGGAATACAGTGCTTTATATGTATTTGTTTTTGTTACCATATTTTGGTAGGTTCTGATTAGCGAAAAAATCGTTGTCAAATTTTCGAGGCAATTCGACCCATTTTTCAAGACAGAAACATGGTTAACTATATATCACATCATATAACAAGGAAATATTTCACTATAAAACAATGCTACAACATCAAATACATAAACACAAAAAAACAGTTATCACTTATGAAATATGCTGATGTTATCACATATCCCTTTTGTTAGCTTGTAGCCGATCCATGCCCATTTTGGACCATGCTGTTGTATTTACTTATGAGACCTACAGTTTCATTAAATAAAAGCCATGTATAAATATACTCACCACAGTCGACCTAAACTGATGTCTAGTGGGAACATTACCACCTGTCCAGTTACAAAATCCAATCATTTGGTGCCAGAACCTTTCATATCAAATTCCCCTCAACGCATGGTAAGGATCCCTTTTCCGCTGCACTTTGTTATTTTTCTATTTACAGTTACCTCCCCTTAACTTTCGTTCAGATGTAACTGAAGACAAGTTTGGGCAGAACACTTCCGATGATTAGGTGCATGTAACAAGTCCGGGGTTCGAATCGCGGTCTAGCCCCACTGAATGTTTACACTCAAAACACTATTTTTCATTATATGTTATATATCATATTTATTATTATTCATAAAAGTCCCGTAAGTTCAGTCGTTTCCAAAATAATTTATCAAAAATATTGTCATGCCTGAAAAAAACAGTTTCCAACACTTAGTTACGTTTTGGCAGTGGTACAGGGATCCTTCAACCTACTTTATATTTCATGTTTTGTCAATAAAAGTACATTATACCGCCTAAAAATGTGTTGATAGTTGTAATGGTTTCACTGTCAAACAATGCTTATGTGATATTATGCGATTGTAATCTTTACGCTTCAAAAATAAAAGCGAAATCCACAAAGAAGATTTATAATAAATATATATAGATATGTATGTTTCCAAAATATTAACTTCAAATAAGTTAATTTTGGACGTTGAGAAGTTGTTTTAAAAGTGTAATTTGCGATTTGCACAATATGGTAATAGATAATCGTCCGTATGTAAGCCTCCTAAAACACGTGACCTGTAGACCAAATACAAATTGATTGATTGATTGATTGATAGGTTTTACGTCCGCTTCATTAACGAGTAGTTCGGTTATCCAGCAGACGAAGAAAAGAAAGGAAAATGAGTAGAAAGGATAAAGTATGGAGTGAAGAAATAAAAGAGGGGGATAGGTTAGAGAAGGAGCCTCCTATCCTATATATATTACTGTATAAGTCTAGTTTTTGTAAGACGGCTCCTAAGCCTAATACATGCCTTAGCCTAACACACGTCGTATAGTATCACCGAGTCTGGACCGAAAGTGAGGTACTGAGCCGCCACCAGCCCCTGCCTATTCTATGAATTTTGTTGGTTTAGATATATTTGAAGTCCTTTAATTGCCTTATAAAGATATCTTAGTTCTATCGGCCGAAAACAAATCTAACCCTATCCTCTGTGTCGGCGCTACTCGCCTACTCTTTTTTCAAAAAAGAGGGATATTTCCGTGCAAGATTGGACAGTTTTCACACGGGACACCTTTTATAGTCCCATCCGACGGACTGTGTGTTAGTGGTTAGAGTCATGTAGGTACTGTTTTTTGTTGTCCGTTCAATGTAATCCTCTCTTCATCATTCGTCACTGAAAACATAGCTGACTGTACTTTTACCAATGTCACATGTCTTAAAAACCTCGTCTTGTCTTTCCCTTAATTCTGTTCATCGTTCCGACATTTAATGATTTTTAATGTATAGTGTGATTATCAGTATTGGAAAAAAGGAAAAACTGGGGGGGTGGGGTG